GGGGGGGGGGGCGACATCACTGTGGGTGACATACGGATGCTCTGAAATCTTTCGGCCTGTCTCCACCCACCTCTCCATCCCGCCCCTGGCTTTCTCTGCCTCGCCCCCTCTCGCGGTTTCCCTGCCTTCCTCCCTGTTTCGCACACCGAGTGCCCACCATATGCAAGACTTCATGTGCGGCGTTCAGCTTTGGGACCTTCTTGTCTCTCTGGACCTACACCCTTACCCGTAGAATCCCCTCCTGACGCTCGGAGCCTCACCTGGCAGGTGTCCACGCCGCCCTCCAGGCTGCCTGCGCACAGCATCTCCTCGGTGACCTCCCCCTGGTACGCGTCCTCCGCGTTGCACCGAGCCCTGTCGATGAGCTGGACCGACGCCTGCAGCAGCACGTCGGACATCTTCCCTGGGAGGCGAAGACACCCTCCTATGCTCGCCCTTGCCTCTCAGGCCCAGCCCAGGACGACTGTCCGGGTTACCGGGCACCTTGGCGCTGGGGCCTCCAGGATGGGTTTTTCTGAAGGATGGTCCCCCTTCCCATCACCTCTGAATGCTGCTCCCTCTGCCTGTGGTCTGAACCCAGGACTCACCTCCACCCGGCTCTGTAAAGCCCCATCCGATGACCCACAGTGGGGTGGCTGGAGTGAGCTCCTCGTCAGGGAAGGGCAGGCAGATGGGCCTGACCGTGCCTGCCAGGAGCAGAGAGGAAGAGGGGACCCAATGTTCCGGAGACCCCGGTGGTTAAGCCTCTATCACCATCCCATAGGATGTTAATAGAAGTGGCAGGAGAACAGGGTTCTATGGTCCAATAAGTTTAGAAAACGTGAGTTAAACACAATAAAAGGAATTGTTTTTAAAAATTTAAAATGTTCTCATATTTTTAATATACTAATGTGCCCAAGAAGAGAGCCAGAGTATAAAAATGTTTCCCAAACTTATTTGGGAAGAAAAACTTTCTTTTTCCTAAGGGACCAGGGTCCTGTGGCACCAGCAGTTGGGAGTGCTGATCTAAATTCTACCTCCTACAAGCACGAGTCATCTAACAGAAGCGTTCCTAGATGCTGTGGGCAGCCTTAACGCCACAGCTCCTTGCCCTTGGCAGGGATACTGTGCAGGCTCTTGGCGTCGGCTAGGGGTGGAAGATGGACTAGATGAGCTCACAGTTCCAAGACTGGATGAATCTATGGCCCTCACTGGAGGCGCTCCACCTGGAGAAAACAGCCTCAGCAGCTCTGGCAGGGGATGGGGTGGGGTGTCAGCTGGCACCTGTGATGTTAGGCTGATAGATTTCCTGGAAACAAATGGGCAGCTGAGGTCTTGAGAGAAGTGATGAGCCCAAGGCCACTTAGTGAGCTAGTGGCAGAGTGGGACTACGACCAGCCTATGGGCTCTGCTCCCAGGTGCCAGCTCTCACCTGAGAACGTGAGTGGGTGCTGCAGCTTCACGAGAGCAATGTCCTTCTCTTTGGGGTACGTGGCGTTGTGCTCAGTGACGAAGATCTTGGCCACAGGCAGGGACGGGAAGTTGCTCAGTTTGTCTGAGCCAGCCCTCACCTTCCAGTTGGACACATCGAGATGCTTCCTGGGCAGAGACCGTGGGGTTTGGGCCTGAGCTAAGCATGAAGAGGGTTACCAAAGGCTGGGTCCCCAGGGCCCTGGGAGTGGGGGTGCTTGGCGTCCCTGCCTTCTGAGGTAATGACAGTGAAGGCAGGGGTGGTAGAGAAGGGACAGTCTGAGGAATCACCTACCATGGGCCATGTTCTAAAAGGGGGTTTGTCCTTTCCCCCAGTGAAACCTGCCCAAGAAGACTTCTAACTGGAGGGCTGTGCAGGGGCTGTCTCCAAGCCTGAGCGCTGGGGCCCTGGCACTGTCCCCTCCAATGCTTTTTATGATGTTACTAATGGGGTACTTGCATGTGGTCAGTTGCCTTATGTACATATCTTTCTTCCTCTTGACACCAGATACAGCCTAGGGATGGTTTTCCAAGAGAGGTTTATAGCTTTTGACAGATTCTCAAAAAAGGTTAAGAATCACTGGTCTAGACTGTGGTTCCTCTAAGGCAGTAACAGGGCCTAATGCACATGAACACATAACATAAGGCTCAGTACCCAGCAAGCACTCATCAGATGCTGAATGAGCGAATGAATGAATGAAAGCAGAGGCCTGGAGTGGTCCTTCCCCAGAGGGGTGGGCAGGCCTCTCTCTGCTGGCCTGCGAGGAAATCTATCCTGTTTTGGTTTGTTTTGAAGTTTCTGGACATAGTGAGGGAGCATCAATGACTCTAGACACTAGAACCATGTCCTAGAAGACTAGCAAAGAGGGAGGGAGTTCTCGGGACTCCTGGCAGACACTGGGCTTCTGATGGCTTCTAACCTGGAAGAGGTCAAGCTTGGTGACCACCACCCTCTGCTCAGACCCCCAGTGTTTAACAGAGGACATTGTGTTCAGCATCTCATTGGGGTGGCCACCCCCTAGGGCATAGTCTTCAAGGGCAGATAAAGAGGAGGGAGGGACTCAGAACACAGTCAGGAGACAGGCGACCAGGGAACTCAGGCCCTCCGCGGCTCTGGCTCCCACAGGCCTCCTTGCAGCGTGAGCCTCACCTGAAGCAGTGGGCCGCCGTGAGGATCCAGTGGGCGTCCAGGATGCTCCCTCCACAGATGTGCTGCTGGCTGTACTGGATGCTGACCTGCCAAGGCCAAGAATCCACAGAGGCCTTCTCCCCGCCTACCACCCGAGGGGCCTTCAGGCTCTCCCCACAGGCTGGGCTCAGGAACAGGGAGGGAGAAGGCAGGAGTCAGGCTTTTGAGAGATGGGGCTGCCTCTCCTAAGAGGTCAGTCTGTCCTGAGCAGGTGGCTATGCCTGGGACCTGGGGGTTGGTGTGAACAGAACCAGGGCAATTTTGAATGATTCATGGCAAGATATTGAGTGTCCTAGACCACAGACTTTATCCTAGTCTTCCTCTCCTTTATTGTCAGCTTTGGATGTGCTTAGGAGTGCATATTGTGAACACGGGTGTGTCCACTGTGTTGACAGCTGTGGCCTTCAAAATAAATAGCGATACAGAACCAGAGAAGTCCTGCCCAGGTGGAATTCCCCAAGCCGCTCCCACTGAGTAACAGCAAACGGGCACCCACGGGCTGCTTTGCGAGTCATAAGTGGAAGAGTTTCAAAAACTGGTTCTTGCCATCCTGAAATCACCTTTCTTCAAGTCCTTTCCCCCGCCGCGCGAGGCTCCCAATTTCACATCTTAGTCTCTCTTTCACACCCCTGTCCCTGCTTTTGTATCTGACCCTTGAACTCTTATAAACCTCTCAGTTCCACCTCCCTGCCTTGTTCTCAGCCTCTTCCGCCCTGGCAGTCACTCCCACGCGGCTTCTGGTGGGAAAGGCTGCCACCCTTCCTGGGCCTATGCCAGCCGGGGGCTTTTCAAACCACTGAATTCCAAACAGAGCTTTCTCCATGTCAACTCACTCACTCACTCACTCACTCACTCACTCACTCACCCACCCAGCCACCCACCAAAGCCCCTTAGCACCCGCTTTGTTTGTAAGGTAGAGTTTAAACTCTTCCAGGCAGCTTCCTGCTGTCCTTACATAAAGTGTCCATTTAGTCAAGTCAGCCTGCTTGTAGCTCCCTAAATGGTCATTCTGGTTTTGTTAAAGGAAGCCCCTGTCTGTGAGATAGAATCTCCTCTCCCATTTATCCAAGTCATTGACTCATTCGGCAAACTTGTACCGAGTGCCTGCTGTATCACTCAGGGATGCCAATGAGAGAGCGACGGACAAGGCAGGAAGGCAGACATCCTCCCGGAGCCTGCAGTTACTCATCAGTGTCCTGGGCACCCCCCTGGCCACTCACTCCCCGGGGGGGCGGTTCCCCCTCTGGGAGCCTGCACAGCCTGCCCTGGGTGCTGGCCAGCCTTCCATTGTTGTCTTGCTTCCGTCTTGTCTTCTCCGTGAGGCCTGAGGCTCCTCCAGGGAGTGCCTGTGACTTAAGCGTTTGTGACTTCAGTGCTATTCAGCTCAGCACATCAGACGATGTGACCGTTCACCTACTCCTTCATTCGCTCGCTGGTCACCCCCACGCTAGGTATTGTGGGGGGTCACATGATAGTGACTGAAAGTCTTAATGTCCAGCAGGAAGGCACATACGCTGCTAACTTCAAGGGCAGGGATGATGACCTTCCTCTCAGGCTGTTCAGCCTCCCACCATCCTGCTGGGCTCTGCTCAGTTCTGCTCCCTGAAGCTGGTAGGGCCACCTGGGCCGCAGTGCCTGTTCCTTTCTGATCTCCTCCATTAGGGCTAGGGGGGTCTCTTGGGATCCTCTTGGGCAGTTGGACTAAAGGGTTCTAGTGAAGATGAATCTCAGAGAGGTCGGCTGGATTACTCAAGGTCACCCTGGAAGCCAGTAGGACTAGTGCTCAGGTCCCCAGACCCACCGAGCCGCTCTCTCTGCAGCAGGTCAACTGTGACCACTACTCAGTTTGTGCTTCCCATGTGTGGCCTTGCATCTCTTTCTTTGCTCAGCTATGAGCTCCTGAGGATAGGGGCCAATTCTTTTCGTACTTTTCTACTTCCAGCCAGCACCTGACAGCACTAGACACACTAACTATTCAGTGGCTCTGCTAAACTGAATGTGGACAACCCATTCTCCAATAACTGAGCTGCGACAAAAAAAGTTATGTGGGCCCTACCCAAGAGGGTAGGGGCCCAGTCCTGCTTCCAGGACCCCCTTTCTCTCCCAGGCCCCGCTCAGACTGTGGGACTGGTAGGCAGAAGTTCTCAATGCCAGCCACTTGAAGGAGCATTGACTGACAAGACGGACAAAGAAGTAAGGCTGGGACAAAAGCAGAGTGAAACTTGGAGTCTGAGACATTTAGCTCATTGCTGGCCTAGGACCCAAACCCTCAGAGATGGGGCGTACTCACCCAGGCAGTGCAGGGAGACCAGGGAGCCCGAGAGGCAGGGTCTGGAAGGGAGACACAGGGGCCCTGTGTTTCCTGCTTCTCCCTCCCTGGGAGGCAGGAACTCAGGTCTTCTGGACACACTGACTCAAGTCCCCTCCCAACTGGGAAATGTGGAATCCGCAGGGCAGTGGGGGCTGCACAGGAGCCGCATTGCCGCTCAGTTCGGTTCCGTTTAATCTGATTGGATTCGACACCCCCAGATACAAGCACCTATGATGCGCTGGGCCCTGCCTGAGTCAGAGCCCAAGCCGGGCTCCTGGCAGCCTGAGATGGAAGAAGGCAGAGCCTGGGACAGGGCCCGCTGCTCTGTGGCCTTCCAGAGAGAAGAGCAAAGGAGTTTCGGTGGCGCTCCAGCAAACGATCATCCTTCTCCTACCCCGGTTCTTCTCAAGATTTGCCCTTTGATGAATAACAACATCCCTGAATGCCGAGAGGCCTGCGTCCCCTCACAGCCGCTGTGCTGCTGGTGACGGTTTTGTTAGCTGCCAGGGGTCAGGCACAGGACCAGGCCGCCCACGGAGGCCGAGCCTGCTCTGGAGAGCTGCGGACAGGCCTTGCTCTGGCGTGGTGGGTGCTGGGAAGGACAGAGTGGTTTTTGGATTATTGCCTGTTGGGCTTAGTAGGGAGCATAGGCTGTAGGAAGAGAAATGGTTTCACTAGTCAGCTGATGGGAAGGCCACCAAGATGTGGACACACACTTTGTCCAGCTGTCCACTGGAGCTGTGGTCCTCAGAACTGGGATCCTCCCGCTCCCACTGCCTGGCCGTCTGACCTGCGGGGGTTCTCCTCTGGCCTGGTGTGCACGCCCCTTGCTGCCCCCGCTCAGGGCCCCTGGCCCCCTGTGGGCCAGAGGGTGTCCCTCTCACTTACCCACTTGAGTTTTGCACCTGAAGCTCCTGGCCATTTGCTGAGATTTCAACAACATCTAGATCTTGTTCTGGACCAATCTTCACAGCTTGGAAGGTGGGCTTGCTGCTCATGCCAGGAGGGAGAGAGGTGTGAACTAGGGCAGGAGTTTAGAACAAGGTAGTGGGGATAGCCCCACTCCAGAGAGGGTGGCGGAGAATGCTCGGTGGGACATGGCAGGGGAGAGGAGGTGGTCTTGGTCAGCGTGGGCGGTGCCTGCTTTGCCCTATGATAAGGGACCTTTCCTTGGCATCCCAGGGCTCAACTCTAGGCACGGTGTTGTCGTGGTCTTGCCTTCTTGGGCAGGGAGGCTTAGTCCAGGACCCAGGGAGCTGGAGAATGTTAAGGCCACAGTTTCCTAATTCCCAGCCCTGTCCCTATTTCAAATGTCCCAACAGTTTCTTCTCCTTCACAGGGAGGGACCAAGGAGGCACAGGAACCCGGGTTAGCTGCCCCACCTGGGAGGGCACTGGAGCGTGGCTATTTGGTTCACTAAGGCATCTCGTCTGAATTCGGGAGCGGAGGTACAGAGATCGGACAGAACAAGATCAGTCTTCACATGAGTCCAGATGAACATTTCTCTTTCTCGGGCCACTCTCCTTTCTTTCTGCTAATCCATGTTTGTCTTCTTTCAAACTTCCCCGATTAATCCCGTATTTCCAATTGTTTCTTTACTCTTTCTCATCTCCTGCATTCTTCCCCATCTGGTCATGTTAGCGGACGCACTGCGCACTGGCCCACGGCCCTCGCTGACCAGTGCATCCTCGCGTTTCCCGCCGGGAGTCTGCCACTACCTGGTGGACTCAGATGCCATATCTGGGGTGACTGGGGTCCAGCAGTGCTTGGTTTTGTGTTAAGAGCCCTCAGGCCAAAGTGCTTGTCCTGGCTCTGACACTAGCTTGATGTATAACCTGGGCAGGTCACACTCCGTCTCTGGTCTCCCTTTCCCCTTTGTAAAGTGATGGGTGGACAGATGATCTCTAGAGTTCCTCTCACTTCTAACTATCTAGGGTTTTGTGGTGTTGGGACAAGAAGGACCTCCTGTCTAGGTGGAAGAAGAAAAGTAGGGAAATCTGAGACCCAGAAGGAGGGACAATCATAGAAATGGACAGTCCCAGGAAATTAACCTCCGTTTATCGATTACATCCTGATGACTAATTCTGACCAGCTTTGATTTTGTAGAGCTCAGGAGCAGGTGGTTGGGACTCCAGGAGGAAGAAGTTCCAGGAGCAGTTACTGTAAGAGCCCTTTGGGACACCCTTTTTTCATAACCAAGCACAGCCTGCTGTGCTGGGCGCAGCTGACTCTGCAGTTGGCTGCACTGTGGAGGGGAGGGGACGAGAGTGGCTGCTGGAGGAGGGAGAATCCCTGGGGCCGGGCGAGCCTTCCCAGCTGTCCTGGGAAATGAAGGTGGTGGGCTACCCTTCCCAGTGGGTGCTGGGAGTTGCACCCCTGGAGCAGAGACCAGCAGAAGCCTGGCAACCAGAGAGCAGGGGGCAGACAGGCCTGATGGATTAGTCATGGCTGCCTGGAGCATGGATTGAAGAACCTGAGGCTGCTCGAGAGAGCTCCGTGGTTGACTGGTGGTGTCTGCCCAGCATGGATCATGTCTGCCTCGTCTCTGGTGCAGGTTCTTAGACGCATGAAGATTGGGGCCTGCCTGGGAGAGGCTACCCCACTCTGCAACTGAGTACAGGGAATTCCCATCCTCTGCAGGTAGGCAACCTGAGCGATCAACTCTCCCCCTTCCTTTACAGATGAAACCCGGGGGAAGAGAAAATGACCCAGCTGAGAAACAGAACAATCCAGGAACTCCTATGCCCAGGAATTAGGGGGCCTGGGCACGAATCCCAGCCTCTCCCTCCCAGCTACTACCCAAGGAAGTTACTTTCTCCAAACTGATTTCTAAAACAGATAGAACTCCTTTTTTGGTTTTTGCCGAGATCAGATGAATATAAATATATGATGCTGATCACCCTTGTTATAATTATATACTTCTGCACCACTGAAAACCTGGGACTGCTTTGGAATTTGCTGAGAGGGTTGGGATTGCTGATGGTTTGCCCAAGAAAATCAGGCTTGTTCAAACCAAATTTTAACCAACAAGACTGTTTTCTGGGGCAGGACACACGGTGTAAAGATGAGGCGTGAAGATGGGGAGTAAAGGAACCGAGAGGGCTGCCAAGGAGCTGGGGCGGTGTGGGCGGGCTCCTGCTGGCCCCTCACACTCACCCCAGAGGCTGGCACCCCTTCCCTGTCAGCCTCCAAGCCAGCCCAGGCTTCCCAGGCTGAGCTTCCGGCTACTTGTCAGCGAAAGTGCTGGGACCACGGCAGTTCTGACCCCCACCCCTGGGGTTTTAGGAAAGCAGGAGACAAGGAAGAGGCAGTGGGAAGGGGGAGGAGGAAGGGCTACAGTGAAGGAGGAAGATCCCAGGGTGAGGTGACAGCCTGGAAGGGGCTGGGTACCTGTTAAAGCCCATCTGCCCGCAGGCTGTCTGGGCCAGAGCGTCTGTGAAGCCGTCAGAACAGGCAGAGGCCCAGCTCCCTGTGGCCGGGTTCAGCACCTGGAGGGTGGACCGGTCTCTGGAGAGGCGGACTGGGAGGGAAGGAAGCTGGGTCAGCGGCAAGGGGCCGGCCGTCTGGCCGGGTTCCCTCC